GGGGGTGTAGACCAATTCTTCATGCTAAATTTTTATTTCATCTCTCCCAATACCTACCTAGATGCAGTCAATGAGCAATCAAGAATAGATTGCAACTTCAGGTGCAGCTGGGATCCGTGTCTGCCTAAGGTCCGCGTCCAAATGGTTCAACTAATGTCATAATTTGCAGTACATGTGGCTGAAATATGGTCTGAATTACTTTGGAAGCTGGGGTGTGCTCGAGTCCGACAAAATTGGGATATTCTTGATGTGATTTTCAGCATGTACATTAGCTTCGTGTTGACTGTTTAAGTAGTAGTACTAATTTTCACTTTTGAGGGACAGAACAAAGTCCTGTTTCGACTTATTCAAACTGTATCAATTTTCTAATTCCTGTACCCATCCTATGTCCCGTTACCCTTTTAAATTGTGCTTTTATTTAAAGTGTTGGCATACTTCACAGAGGATATATGATTGCCATATGTTTATTGAACAGGGGATCATATTTTTATCACGTAGTATACTAAGTATTATATTTTAAAAGGTTGCTGGTACGGTCCATTTTTTCTCCATGCTGAGTTTGGGTAATAAGACTGCTTAAGCCATGCCTTCATATATTGAATAAGAATTATTCTACTTGGCCAGGGCCAAGTGACAGGCCCTGGTGACAGAAGCCGAGGTGTTTGCACCTCGGCCATTGATCTGAATAGCCAAAAAAAAAAAAAAAAAAAAAAAAAAGAAAAAAATGAATTTCAGATCTGGGGCTGAGGTGATGTCACCTCAACCCCTGTCCCCATCTCTGTCACTGTAGCGGGGCTGATTGAATAATGTAATTTCTATATTTTGGGGTTATCTCTTAGTTCTGTTGATTACCTTTGGTTGGAGGCATGGTAATGGATGTTGAAGCATGTTGGAGTTGCTCTGATGTATATTTGAATGTTTTTCTGCTGATTCAAGAGTCAGGAAAGTGAAGAAGACACGTGTTTATTAACTTTATTATTAACACGTTTTTATGTGTATTTTAAATCAAGTGGTTCAGCTTTTCTTGTTGGGATTGGTTTTGACCAATTCGTCTGACTGATGGTTAGATTGGAAAAAGAGGACACAAACAATTTACCCTTTTAGCAATTCATATATTCTATACACATGCGTGTACCTGCTCTGAAATATTAAATCATATATTCAGGAAGCATCATGCTGTTTCTTCAAAATCTACGGCAACCACTTCTAACACGCTGTTTATTTAAACAGCGATGATGTAATTGTGTGGTATATTCGCTTCAGATTAATCAATTTGAAGCATCAAATGACTTTCTCTGCAGAAACCTGAAATCCAGTGCTGAGGTATTCCATGAGTCGGTTCTGCAGTCGATTACAATAAAAAACCAGAAGATCAACAAAGAAAAAGGAACAGTTCTGCTGTGAAAAATGAAAGGTTTCGATGATTTTCCTCGTGATTTGATCATCGAAATACTCGCAAGACTTCCTGCTAAGGTTCTCTGCAAGTTCAGGTGCGTCTCAAAACGATGGTACAATTTATTAACTGACAAGGATTTGATCGTGCGTCACGCAGAATTGTCTAAGCGAAAACCTCTGTTATTGACCCGGAAATATATTTCGGATGCAAATGGGGAAATGAATGGAAGCAAAGTCACAGTTGAATTGACCTCTATGGACATGGAGGGAAATGTAACAGATGAATTCAGGGATGTACTTGATGGACATGTTCACACATTCATTTCTTGCTATCCATTCAGTATTATATGCTGCATGTACTCTATTTATGTTTGCAATCCTAGTATTCGTCAAGTTGTTCGTGTCCCCTATCCTTCTAATGCTCGTCTATATAACGTTGGATTTGGATACCTTCCCAAGTTGAGCGAGTACAAAATCGTGCATTTGTTGTACCATTCCTTCGTTGGAGATGGAAAAATTGGGTGTGAAATCTTTAGTTTTAAACATGGTGAGGGAGTTGACTCTGGCTCTTGGAGAACACTCGGCGATTATCCTTGTAGGGCCTGGATTGATGGTCACCCTCTTTGTGTGAATAAGACTATTTACTGGGGATTGGTATCTACTTCTTGGAATGACAAGTCTATTCTCTCGTTTGACTTGGATAACGAAGAATTTAGCATTATTTCCTATCCCGTGTGCAATTCTGAAAAGTACAGCAGCTTGGTGTATACAAAGATTATGGGGTGTTTATGTCTTGTGGGGTGTTCAGCACGAGCATCAACCTTGGATATATGGTTGCTGAAGGATGAGAAGAAGGAGATTTGGGTAATGGAACATAGTATTAGTCTCTTTCCCTCGAGTGTTAGGTTTTTGGGTCCTTGTGAGAATCAATGCGAAGAAATACTGATCCACGTGGAGCAAAGAGGGCTCATTTTTTACAATGTCAAGGATCAAACTTACAGAGGGATTGAAAAGTGCAGAGCCATGGAAAATTTCAATAAGCCATGTCTTTACTATGATAGTCTTATTCCTCTACGCTTCATGACACGTCGATTTGAATAGCACTGGATAGTATTAAAACATATAATAGAGCTAAGATTTTCTTTGTTATATTGTCAAATACGATATGTCAAACACACCCATGTCCAGAATTGTCGTAAGAGGGATCACCCAGTATATATATATATATATTTCTTTTGCATTTCACTGTAGGAGGAGGGTCCTTGGAATTTTGCTCTGCTAATGGTATAAATTGTAGTTTTTATTTTTATTTTTATATTTGGATTTGCTACTTGTACATAAAAAATATACATAATGGATTACATAATATGATGTTGAGGAAAAAATAGATGAAAACGTTGATTGTATTTTAAATTGGCTAATCTTAGAGAGCCATATGACACTGTGTAATCCATTATATAAATCTTGATATACATGTAGTAAGATACCATTTTTTTCACAAGCTTGTATTAGGTTTTTTATTTTCTTCTTCCTTTTTTTGGCAATTTTCCGACTTGTTCTTTTTTATCTTTTATGTTGTGTATGCAAAACACTTTGTATAATGAGACAGCAGAAAACTGTGATCATGATACAGTTATTGTATCGTTCAATAAAACTTGGGGTTTCATACAATTTTATGCTATGAATGAAGAGATTTTTGGACTTCATAAATACAAAATATGCACTGCATTTTACTTAAAACATGTATTTATGATTATTTGCAGCAAAAAAAATCAGCAGGCACACACGTCTCAAACCTCATGTCCATATACAAATTATATAGGTTAACAGAAAAGTAAATGAGTTTACAACTGCTGCTAGAAGGCTACTATCACTGAATTATAAGCTCAGATCAGAATAGATCCTCTATTACTGATTTTGCTTTCACTTCCCACCTCCTCAGATCTCGAAAAATGACATTTAAATACCACTCATCAGCTTCAATAATTGCAACTCAGACTTTGTCTTATCACTCTCAATTTCTCGTTTGTTTTCTGATCATTGGTTTGTGCCTGCACCTTCATTCTTTCTTTCTCAAAGTACTCTGTGTCCAAAGAACGCAGGAGCACAAGAAAGATAATCGAAGTCTGAGTTACTCTACATTAGTTAAGCATAAAAGGAATGTTTAATTTGCAGAACTGGATAGAACTCATGAGTAATAGACAAGATTTTAAGTTCTTATTCTTCCATAATACTCTTGAATCCTGTTTAATATTGTGTACCACACATGTCGAAAATGCATGTTGCCACACATTTCTGCGATGTCTAACATGGGGTGCACATTATTTTTAGTTGGTATTGTAGACGCTGTTCTTTGGGAACAATGGAGTCAATTTTGGTCATGTGAACTACTGATACGGTAGAGATAATCCATGGTAGAATAGTAACGAATTCATACTACAGTAAGGGAACAAACTATAGAATTTGAGCTTTAACATGATTTACCTGCTGTTTTCTTTTCCTCTCTAGTTTGGCCTGTTTCAAGTCAAAGGAATATAGGAATGTTCCAAACACCAAGTGCCAACAAGAAGAAGTCAAAGGAATATAGGAATGTTCCAAACACCAAGTGCCAACAAGAAGAAGTCAAAGGAATATAGGAATGTTCCAAACACCAAGTGCCAACAAGAAGAAGTCAAAGGAATATAGGAATGTTCCAAACACCAAGTGCCAACAAGAAGAAGTCAAAGGAATATAGGAATGTTCCAAACACCAAGTGCCAACAAGAAGAAGTGTGTTATTAGGTAATTAAAGACGAGCCAAGAACATTATCTGAGATTGACTGAATTTTATATCTGAAAGTATACATCGGTAAATATTTCTATAATTACCAGTCTGTTTTAGGTCTGCATTCTCTGCTTTCAACGGTTCTAGTTCTGCTTCGAGTTCGAGTGTAAGCCTGCCAAAACAACTTCAACATTGTAAATTAAGAGTTGTCAAAGATCAAATCATAAGCTTTATCTGGTTTATGAAATCATCAAAATCAAATCCAATATCCAGTAAAATTGTTTTAACTCTTGAAGCTGAACACTACAAGAAAATGGAATACCTGTTTCCTAGCTCTAGATCGTGCAGCAGACTCTCGATTCTTGATCATCCTTCGTTGTTGCCTCTCCACCACCATATCTTCCAGGCCACTGGTGATTCGCTTCCGCCCTCTTTTCACCCCATTGGCATCTAAACCATACTGATTACTATTCTCCACCTGGTTGTACACAATCTATCCGAGGACACTGTACTTACCAGGTGTTAACTGAATAAGCATTAAGATAGAAACAATCTTTTTGAAATATTTATGTTTATCTTTAATTTGTTAGACAGTTATACTAGTTTGTTTTACAACCTTGGGAAGTTAATTTCTGTTATTGTATAACTCTATAAATACAGATATTCTTCATTGAGTAAGGTATCAAAGAAACCCACTCAGATTCACTTTGTTTCTTTATTTTCTTTCATGGTATCAGAGTCCATTAAACTCCAACGAGCGATTCGATTCAATTATAAGTCTCAGTTAATAAGCAACGGATTGCAAAATTGGTCTGCTCAAACAAGCCATCATCTTGCGGAGGCATGTTAAAAGATAAAAATCCCACATCGGTTAAAAATCGAAATATTGACCAACTTAAAAAGATCTTGGGTTACTCCTCTTAACATGGGTGGCCTTATTAAGATGGACCCCAAATCTTAACATGGTATCTTAACAAGGTTGACCTCATTTAATCAATTTAAATGCATACTGCGACTCCGACTGGGGAGGAAATCCTAATGACTGAAGGAGTAGCAATGGTTACAAAATATTTTTAGGTAAAAATTTGGTTTCGTAGAGTGTTAAAAAGCAGAATGTTGTGTCACGTTCAAGTACAGAAGCTAAATATAGATCACTGGCTTTAGCAACTGCTGAACTCTATTGGACACGTATGCTATTTCAAGAATTGGGAATTACACTTCCTAAATGTCCAGTGATTTGGTGTGACAACATAGGTGCTATTGCTTTGGCCTCTAATCCTGTATTTCATACTTGGACCAAGTATATCGAAGTAGATTATCATTTTGTGAGAGAAAAAGTCGTGAACAAGGATGTTCAAGTATGTCATATTTCAACAACAGATCAAATTGCTGACATATTCACGAAGGGCCATACAGCATTACAGTTCAAGTTTTTAAGGCACAAACCGATGATCTGTTTGCTGCCCATCAGTATTATTAGTTTGCAGGGGGGGTGTTAACTGAATATGCATTAAGATAGAAACAATCTTTTTGAAATATTTATGTTTATCTTTAATTTGTTAGACAGTTATACTAGTTTGTTTTACAACCTTTGAAAGTTTATTTCTGTTAGAGTGTGTTTGATTGATATGGAAAATATCACCTAAAAAGAAAATATTTTCCTTTTTTTTAGGAAAATAAAAACCACCTTCCCCCAAGGAAAATATTTTTCTTAAAAACAAGGAAAATTAGACATATTTTCAAAAGTTG